ATTTGTAGTGGTGAACTTTTCTTTCCTCCGAACTCTAAATGCAGAGAATGTTGTTATGATTTCTAAAAGCTATCAAATATCCATTTTGACCCCATATATGAGAGTTTTTGTTTGTCTTTTTGGGGGTATTAATGGAAAACAAAAAATTGTATGATTGCACTTTAAGAGATGAGAGATAAGAGGAAAAGAACAACTATTTTTCTCTTAAACTTAAAAGATTCCTCTTAAGAGATAAGAAATAAGAGAAAACGAAACTTAGGGAAGCGATGCCCAAGAAAATAAATTAATCTAAAAAAAGAACATGGGTTTGTTGTTCAATGGGCCATTGACCAACTTTCACCCCCTCTCAAAATCAAAACAATAAATGCCCCCTAAGGTTTAGGTGCCGTTTGATTGCACTTTTTAGAGGTCTTAATCAGAAAATGCTACTTTTCAAACCTCACCCCTTGTTTGGTTGTACCTCTTAAACTGGGTCAGAAACTGGTTTTCAGATCTGAAAATCATAGACCTTGGGCCGGCTCTTAACACACTCAGACTCGTTTTAGAGCCGGCCCAATGTCCAAAATATCCTTACAATTTTTCATAAATGACCCAAGTTACCCCTGATACCCCCAAACACAGAAAACCTAAACATTTGACCTCTCTCTCTCTCTCTCTCTTCGCCCTGTATTCTTGCCACTACTACTGCAAGTTGCAACGGCGGCTCTCTCTCCCACCCTCTCTCTCTCTCTCTCTCTCTCTCTCTCTCTCTCTCTCTCTCTCNCTCTCTCTCTCCGCCCTGTCAAGTCTCTCTCTCCCCCTGTCTTCTCTCTCCCGCTCTCTCTCTTCGCCCTGTATTCTCACCACCGTCGCTGCAACTTGTAGCTCTCTCTCTCTCTCTCTCTCTCTCTCTCTCTCTCTCTCTCTCCCTCCCTCCCTCCCCTGTTTTCCTACCACTGCCACCGCCGTTGTCTTCTCTCTCTCCCCCTAACGATGGCTCTCTCTCTTTCTCCCTCCCCCTGTCTTCTCTCTCTCGCTCTTGCCCCCCCCCCTCTCTCTCTCCCCTATCTTTCCACCACCACCACTGCCACTACAACAGGCAACAATGGTGGTTCGGTACTTCGGTGAATAATAATAGTGCTTTTATTAATTATAAATTATAAATTATATTTATTTTTATTAATTATTTTAATATTTTTTATTAAACATTAATTATTTTTTATTAAATTTACTTGTGTTATTTATTAATTATTAGTTATTTTTATTAACTAGTAATTTTTAATTATTTCATTAATTTTTATAAATTATTTTAATTTTTATTTATGTAAATTATTAATTGTTTTAATATTTGTATAATCACTAATTATTTTTTTAATTTTAACCGTTTCATTTATTAATTAATAATTAATAATTTATTATTTGTTACTTGTAATATTTCAATATTATTTTGAGGTTGAAATTTATTTTTTATGAGATCATGTAAATTGAATTCAACATTTCCAAATTGTATGTGTTTAGGAGTAAAATAGTAAAATCAGTAAATTGTAGATGGTAAAGGATTGATCCAACACAAACAAACTTATGGATTCAGATCTTCTAAAAAATATAAAAGTAACTATGGCTCTTTTCAGATTTCAGACACATTTAATATCTTTTTAAATTTTCAGATTTATCAAACGCCACCTTAGTTTGAAAGGAGTGCAAATACAAAATTATACATCATAAAACCTTGTATTTTGTATTATTTTATATGTATTTACACTGTACATATTTGCATTTGTACTCCTTCCAAACTGAGCCTAAGAGATTTTGCAAACATGAGGAAAGCTTTAATCTATTTCCTAAAACCTAGGGATAATTTAACATATTTGTCATTTTACCTATAACTCTCCTTCACTTTTTCCCATATATCTTAAATTTTGCCTAAATTATTAAAACCTCCATAAACCCCATGTTAGAGAATTTCTGTTACGTAAAACTTACCTTCTCAAGTCGCTATTGGTGACCATCAATGGAAATTCCCCAATTAGCTCAGTAATTATTTGTAATGACCAAACTAATCCTGATTTTCTATTAAATAATTATTATAAAATCAAGTAAAAGGAATAAAAAATATTTCTTCTTTTATCCTCACCCAACTTAAATGTTTCAGTACCATTGGGATGAAGAGATGAATGCCCAAATGGCCAAATCTCGTATAGAGGGACATTTCTCCCAGCATCTCTTTTCAAAATGGATTAATTGGCTACTAAGTACCATGACCATCTATTTGAATAAATGTTTTGTAATTTTTTATCTTGAAAAATGAGAAAATAGTTGATAAATATTTTATACTTGTTTTTTTAGATTTGGTTTTGTTTGACAGTTAGCACATAAGCTCAACCATAAATAAATGGTTGGATGTTGGGAGAAACATTAAAAAGGTATTTCTCCCGATAATTGGCCATTACACACACATACACACGCATACCAATAAAATGTTTATTTACTGAACGGTTTTACCAAATAATGGTGTTTTCCCAGACACCTACATGATGATAATAACCCGGCACCATTTTTCAAATAAACAACCAAAAAACCAAACACTAAATAAGACCTCTTTTGTTGGTTGTTGGATAACATCATAACAAAGACTTTCCTTCCGTTAATGATGTGGCAAAATAATGTGGGTTAATTAGAAATTGCCACATGGCAAATCTGAGAAGATAAAATAAGAAATTTGCTGAGGTGTCAACCGCAATGCACCAGCCACTACCTATTAATAGTGGGCCAATGACCACGTAACAACCAAGAAATGGTCGAGTTTAATGAGGATAAGGGTTAATGTTGCCATTACAAGCAGCGAAGGACCTGAGCCAATCCGGGAACCATTACCCCTCCGGTTGGTGGTTCCTCCTCTCTCTTTTGCAATTGACTTGAGGATTGGAGACTCCGCCCTGGAGGAATAACTCCACGGCCTCTAACTGCTCTTGTGATTGTCGGTGCTGTGATCTAGCTAGTTTTTCTTTCCTAGTTGCCGATTATCAAGTATCAACTAATTAAATAACTGCACGACTTGTCTGATTTCAAATCCAATGGTACCTTTGCCTTTAGCTTTTGTGTTTTAAGTCATTTTGACAAAGCCACACACTTTATGGATGTGGACAAACATTTTCTGAATACTGCCAACATTAATGATAGATGAGTATGGTTGCCGCATTGGGTGGAATAACAAATTAACAATGCAAAAATCGTCAAGTGGGAAGAAACTATGGACAAAATGCTTGCCGGGAAAGCGTTCAGTTTCCATAGTTTTTCAGTCACCGTTTTAAAAGGTAAAAACTAACAATTATAGTCTTAAGAAGTTTCCACATATATTGAGTGTGCAATTTATGATTTGGTGATTGGATCAATAAATCAATAATTCAACTGTCTTGGTTCGATGATTTTTGACTAATTAAGGGTGCGTTTGGTTTGCAGATAGGACCGGAATCGGAATCCCTAGAAATCGGAATTAGAATCACCTATTCTTGGCACCTGTTTGGTTTAATCAGGAAATGGAATCAGATTCCGATTGTTGCTGTTTGGCGCAGCTAGAAGTTGGAATCAGAATGAGCCAAAATTTTCAATTCTGCCCCTGTTAAAATAACCTCAAAAACAACTCACTTATTATATATTTTCAATATATAAACACAATGGCAACCTACTAACAAGTGCATATATGGAGAAAATATGAAAAATGAAAAGAAGACACATAAACAAACAAAAATCACAAAAAAAAATCATTATCCACCATAAAAAAATGAAAAGAAAAACACATAAACAAACAAAAATCCCTCATACTGGTGGAAATAATACTGGAATCATCATATATATATCCATGTACATAAACACATTGGCAACCTTTGATGGTATTACCTCTTACAGACCATTGAGATTTGATGTCACTCAATTCAGAGAACAGATTAATGTTTTTGTTACTAGAAAAACAACCAACTTTATTCAAAACACACTCTATGACTGTAAAGTATAATGTTTCTCTACCTAAGAAGAGAGCTCATTTTCCATTTAGTGGGTCTTCTCTAGTCTACACTCTTAAGTCTTAACCATCGGAATTACTGTATTATGTATGGTTCAAAGAGTTATATATTCACTTTATAGGCGAGGGGCTGAAATCATAAAACATAGTCTTCCTTGGTTCAACTATCCTAAACTGGACCCTTCAGCTTGAATATTGTTGGCTAGCACTTTCGGCTCTTTGACTCTTTTTGGTTGGGCTTGAATTTGAGTAGTTTCAGATTATTCAAAATTCATTAGGCCCATCTGAAATCCAACATACTAAATTGGACCTTTACATTGCCTTTGGTTTGATAGAAAATAGAAGAAAAGGGAATCATAAAATACTTTTCCCCAACAACTTTTTGTTTATCTCTTATGTTCTATATCAAACCAAACACAGCCTTAGGTTGAACACCAAAGCTGGTCATCTTGGATCTATGGGTTAGCTAGGAATAACACCTAAACCAAGCTGGGAAAACATTGTGGAGAATTTACCTTCACCTATTGGTGTTTTCCCCACCTTTACTAAGTTGATTATCAAAGGCTAATCTGACTATCCCCAAAGAAGCCCAACCAAATATTGCACTGAGATTTATTTCTCCAATGATTGAGCTGATTTTTCCTTGTTTGGATCCTCATAATTTTTCTCATATTCAACTAGCTCCTTTGGCAAGTTCTTTAAAAATCAAGGATGCTTTTTTATCTCCAGAATGGTGATCCTCTTCAAGGTGGATAAGACAGATGATGAACCATAACATGTCAAAATTATGATGATGTTGAAAAAGAAACAAATAGTCATGGACAGAAAGATGTCTTTACTGGGTTAGCAACAAAAATTCGAGTAAAGAGCTATTTACAATCTGTTGAGACACATGTGGTCTGGTATGAAGTGCTAAATATACATATGGATTCAAATATACATATCTTAAGTTAAGGGTAATAACTACAATGTGTTCTACAAAAGAATTCACACTAATGGTATTCTAGATATTTCTAGGATCATCAGGATCCTCAAATGGATATTCTCCAACCAACATGACATAAAGTGTCACACCATAGGACCAAACATCCACAATCTGCAATTGAAGAAATGCCAAAAATACCATGAATGTTATAGATAAAAAACCTAGATCAATGATATAAAATCCATAACATGCATCTCTTTGATTATTGAAATCATCTTTGAGTTTTGTCGTGAAAAACTCATTCATGAGGTTGTAATAAAAGACAAAGTTGTAAAAGAATGGATTGGGTTCTATTTGTTAGGTAAGTGAACAACACATGCACCTGGTCTCTACAATCCATAATATCCAAGTGTCAAGCTTCCATGCCATTTCATCACCATCTTCATATAAGCCCTATGCCAACTATATGGGGTTGGCTACCAAAATCCTGTTTCATAGTCTTCTAGGCCATTTAAAATATTAAAATCTAGACTACAATCTGAAATGCTTTTTTATATCATCTCTTTATTTAAAAAAATAAAGTTACGAATTTTTTGGTTATGTGAATATTGAACACATGGTCATACAATTTGAAATGCTCCCCCACCCCCAATAAAAAAAAAAGAAAGGAAAAGGTCTCTCTAAACTAGCTTGCAAAAATATCAGTGAAATGGCAATGGATGAGATGGTTTTGATGAAATGTAATTGCACTTTTGGACCATCACCTAAGTATTGTTCATATTTAATTGGTTAGAACTAGTATCCTCTGTACCATGCACCAACATAAAGAAATATCAAAATCCTAGCAAACTTCCTCTTTTTCTTTCACTTGTTAAAGGGATAGTTAAATACCTTGTCATCATATTCCTTCCTTGATAGAACTTCTAGAGCAATGTATGTTGGTGCTCCTACTGTTGATTTTGGTTGTGAGTGCAGTAAAGCTAATTGCAATGTAAGGAGAAAAGAGAAGAAAAAGTAGAATAGTCAGAGTTCTTGTTCATGATACCAAACACAAATCCATAACTCGAAAATTACAAACCTTAGAATAACCAAATTCACATATTTTAAGATGTAGTAGTGTAAAACAAACCAGAATAGGGTAGATTTGTAAGATGAATCAGAGCAAGGGCAGATTCAAATCAGTGCAGGGATGGATCTGTAAAACGAATCACTGTATTGCAGTCAGTTGATAAAAAAGAGGAAGAAGAATAAAAAAATGGGCGATTGATTTGGAAGAAAGAGGAGGATGATGGGAAGAAGAATGGTCGACAACGATTTTTCCTCATTGGAGATGCAGTTGGTGGCAATGGTGGCAACGACTAGTGGAGGCTGAAATACAGAAGGAGTTCCTTACACAACACTTTCGTTGATTAGGGGTTGGAACAAAGGGTTTTTTTGTCCCAAAAAAAAACCTCAGACCAGAATGGGAATCACATTCCGTGGGGGCGGGAGTCGGGAATCACCATTCCCCCATATGGGGGAATCTCATTCGGCTTAGAATTCCGGTCAACCAAACACTAGAAATCGGAATGGCCCATTCTGATTTCCATTCTGAATTTTGGCCAAACCGGACCTAGAATCTTAATCGAGTGATGATTTGACCTAATCATCAACGGGTTAAAAACACTAGTTTCAGATGTTGGGTTAAAAACAATGCTCGGGATATTATTGAAATGTGTAATGGCAGGCCACAATGCAAATGAGTTGTTATTCAGGTTTTTTGAACGGCATGCCTAGGAGTGGCAAATGGGTGGGTTGGTTGGGTTGGGTTGGGTGTGGGTTGAGTTCCAACCCACCCATATTGACCTGCTAACCCATTTGCCACCCAAGTTTGTGACCCACTTTAATCCTAACCCATCTTAACCCACCCATTTGATCGTCTAATTTAAAGTAGGTTTTTTTATTTTCTCTATTTTAATTGCATAAAAACATATAATAAATGAATACAAAAAGTTTCAATTTTTCAAATAAAAATAAAAACCTATAAAAACACAGAAAATGGTAAATAATATATATTTCATATAAAACACCAGAAATTGCAAAAAATACAGGAAAATTATAAGAAAATCAGAAAATATAAAAATTTGCAAAAAATTACAGAAAAATGTAAATACACACACATATATATTTCAACCAAAAGGATATGAAAAAAGATAAAATGTTCAAAAATATCTTCAAATATAAAATACATAAAAACATAGAATAAACAAATATAAAAAGTTTCAATTTTTCAAATAAAAAATAAAAACCTATAAAAACACAGAAAATGGTAAATAATATATATTTCATATAAACACCAGAAATTGCAAAAAAAATACAGGAAATTATAAAAAAAAACAGAAAGTATAAAAATTTGCAAAAAATTACAGAAAAATGTAAATACACACATATATATTTCAACTAAAAGGATATGAAAAAAGATAAAATGTTCAAAAATATTTTCAAATATAAAATACATAAAAACACAGAAAATGATAAACATTAGAAATTGCAAAAACAGTAGAAGTAAATTGGAAAAGACAAAAAACTCAGAAAAAATATAAAATTTGGATAAAAACAGAAACTGCAAAATACATAAAATGATAGAATATTCAAAAATCTATATATTATAGCAAAAAAGTAAAAGAAATGTAGAAAAACAAGAAAATGATAAATTTTTCAAAAAAATATATATTTTGGAAAAAATCAGAAACTGCAAAAGATTCATATTAGAAAAATCAAAAGTTATTTGATGGCATTTTGTCATTGGATAATATTCATATTAGATTGCGCCAATGTAAAAAATCAATTTTTTTTCATGTAAAATGAAAATTTTACATTGTTTCTGCTTCGGTAATTGATATTTTTATCATAATACCCTAAAACAATGACAATATCAGGCTGAAACACAGTGTATTATTCCAAAAGTCGGGCTCCAAGATTTGAATCTTCAATCTGGAGATCTGAGTGAAGAAGATAGAGTGGTGGTGTGTTTACTAATTCAAATCGAAGATTTGAGTGGTAAAGAGAGAGGGTAGTGGTGGTGCGGCGACCAAGGTGGTGGTTGGTGTGGTGTCTACCTTCCATATATATGAGGAGTCGGTGCAGCAGCCATCTTTAAGATCTGAGAGAGTGTGATGGTGCGACACCCACCTTCAATAGATTTGAGAAATCAATGTGGCAATCAACTTTAATAAAAGATCTAGGCGAATAGATCTGAGAAATCAGTGTGGCAATTGGCTTTAATCAAAGATCTAGGCGAGAGAAGCAAAGAAGGGTGACCGGCAACATAAGAGAGAGAGAGAGAGAGAGTGCGGTGGTCGGCTTCACACAGAGATCTGGGAAAGAGAGAGGCAGGGTCCAGGGAGGGGTGATCGACAACATGAGAGAGAGGAAGAGAGGGGTGACCGGAAGCGGCAACATGACAGAGAAAGAGAGGGATAGGGAGGGTTTCAGGAGAATAAATCGAACCCGAAGAGAGGGTCAATGGGTAACCCTTGACCCAATCGACCCTAACCCTTTTTTCCTGACCCTTATGGGTCATTTGACCCATCTTGACCCACTATTCAAATGGATGGGTTATCTAATAGGTGGGTTGGGTTCAAAATTTCCAGCCCTACGGCATGGCAAATATGTGGAAGCTTTAATTTTTTTTTTTCAAATAAAAGGGCAAATGGAGAAGGTAGATCGAATCACTAGGGTTCTCTGTTTCTTGCAAGTTGCCAGCCCTAAACTTTAACATGCATATGGATGTAGAGTATATCAGAGCCAGATGAGTAAATGGCGTAAAGGAATTGACATATTTGTGTATTCTCTTACCACATTTTAATTTAACAAGCTTTAATATCTAATTATTAAAGAATGTAAATCTAAGATGCCGGAAAGGTATGATACCAGAAGAGTTTTGACCAATACAAATCTTCCCCTCCCCTTCAGTTGAAATTTCGATGAATACTACCTAATTGGTATCATGTTTTTATGATTGAGTTTTTATGGTATCAAGTAGGGGTGCAACTTGGCTGGGCTTAGGTTGGACTTTTGAATGGGTTTTCTCCAAGGGGAAATGAGATCTATTCCTTACAGAGCGCTCCTCACAATCACATCCCATCATGTATTAGTAATATTTGCAATGAATAATAACACAAAATTATGGGGGAAATGTTTCCCATGTACAGCTGGAATATGGTGTGAGGTCAGTGTGAGGAGCACTCTGTGAGAAACAGAACCGGACTGGTTGGAAGGCTTGAGCCTGATACAGTGTAAAATGCTAACTTGGCTCAACTTGAGTTACACCTGTAAGGAATTTGTTAAATTTTCAATAGGCCCGAATCCTTACCTAAGCCTGATGTAGTTGATTGGAGAACCCAACCTGCAACCCATTGTCAAGCAAAATTTAGGTTGGATCTGGAGTAGATCCAGCTAGGCTTACGACTCGCCTGGACTCTAAACATAAGGGCCCATATCTAAATTAGTAATGACTAATGAGTAATAGTGCATGACGATGCACACAAGACAGGCTTTCATCACGCCATGCTAAGTCAAGTATGAACCCATTCACAAATGGACCTTAAACTTAGGTTTGGTCTAACAGGACATGGGCTGAAAGATGCAACCCAAGATAGGCCCAAAGAAATTTGTAAAGTTCAAAGGCCTGTCCCAACCCCCTTCCAGAGTGCAGAGGGTTCTTCAGAAGATTCATCTCTTGTAGTGTATGGTCAATGATCGGATTCGGTACCACTCTACGGGTTTGCCATAACAAGACAGGCTTGGACTTGATGTATTTCATGATTCATTTTCATCATTATCATCAGCATTCATCATATCATCATCCTCTGAACACTGTTCGCCATTCAGTGCCATATATAAGGAGTTCAAATCAGCCCTCCACAAGATTGCCCCCCACAATGTCCCACAGCACATCTCTACCGTGTATTGGGAACATTTCTCAATAATGACATCATCATTTCTGGTATTATCATCGGAAGATGTTTCCAATACACGGCAGAAATGTACTGTGGGGGGCAATCTTATAGGGGCTGATTTGATCTCATATATAACTAATAAAATGTAGAGATGGATTCAGTGAGTTCCGATGGGTTCCCTACACAGCGCAAATAGACACATCCCCCATGCATTAGGAACATCTCTCCATGACAAGAAGTATGAGAGATCTTCCAAATGCATGTGGGATATGCGTGTGAAGCGCGCTCCCATTCAAATTTGGATTCAGCCTGGCACCTGGCACTTGACATCTTTGGATTCGGTCCAACTCAGATGTCCGACTTGAAACTGAAATTGAAAGACAAGTTAAAGGGCCCATTTGGTACAATGTCATCATCTACTCTCTCTCTCTCTCTCTTCAAAGGTAAAGTATACTAAGAAATGGTCTCTTGGCCTACGGATTGATTGCCCCTGTTGGGATTTTATTCCAACAAAAACTGTCCCAATTCGCTTACAACATGATTTCTGTCTACACATTTCACCATAAAAACCGGTGATATTCATTATATCTGATATGTGTAGATAGAGATCAAGGACCCATCATGTCTGAGATGTGCATATACAGATGGTGTTGGAATGTATTAGTGGTTTTAGCATGAAAGCCCTCTCAAACTAGCTCACTCGGTAAAGTCTCTAATTGATAGTAGCAGAGAGTTGGGATGATCAATCCCATCTTCGCCAGGGTCAGTGGGATTATGGGTTTGGGGTGTGGGCTACATTGTCTCTTCAAAGAGCGTGCCCCATAGCACATCCCACTGTACATTGAGAACATCTCATGTGTTCCCAATCTTTGTGAGGTGTGTTGTGGGCACGTGTGGGATGCGCTCTGTGTGGAGACAATCCGAATTCGTATTGCCACCCAGTGATGCTACATGGGTGCTGCACATGAGCCATACATAAAGGGCCATGCCAGCCTTGTGTATGTGACCCCAGTCCCTTAATAAAGTGGAATAAATGTCTCTACATGTTTCTACTCCTCCATGTATATAAGCCACATTTCAGCTAAACCAAGCTGAAATTAAGGGATAGCTGTAGTGGCTGAACTGAATGATTTGTTTTTGTTTGAAACTGAAATTAGGTTCCTTACAATGGCCTAGAATATTTCATTATTTTATTATTTTATCCATTAAAAAACAAAATTATAAGCCATTCAGCTGCTACTAAGGCAATAAGTCCTAAGCATTTCTCCAAAACATTCAAAAAGTTAATACCGCTTCAATAAGCCCCCATAAATTGGAGGGTTCCAGCTCTTTATGGACTGAAAAAGAGACCCTACAACTCTTTATGGACTGAAGAGTAGTATTATTGCCTAAATAAAGAATGAGAGTTGAGAGTGGCAGATGATAGTGATAGACGTGCTTATATCCATCCATGCAAATTTAAACCCTAAATCACAACCATGGAAGCAGTCCCATAAGCTTCAACCCTAGCCATAGTTCAAAAAAGTAGTTCCATCTGTTAGACAGATAAAAATAAATAAATTTGTCTGTCTTTGCCTTTTTTGATCCTAATTTGTCTGTCTTTGCAACCTTGCAGGAGTAGTTTACAGATATGCCCATATTTGATTTATTTTATGTAAATAAATTAACAAGTGCTCTATATCATGTGGTTGTTGAACTCTCTCAGTCTATTGGTTGTTGCAGTGTAAATCTGAACCAGATACCAATTTTGCACCTTGGTCAGTTTTGCATCCGTTTGTAATCATGATTAAAAATTGTTACTTTTTTAATTATCTCATATACTTATTGGCAGTGTATGCAAAATTTAAACAATTCACATCACGTCAATCAATTCTCTCTCCCTCTCTCTCTCATAAAAATGGGAACTACTTCATCTTGCTTCTTGTCTCATTCTAAAACAAATAAATCTTCTCCTACCTTCCTTTCCTTTCATCAGTTCATGTAAGGTGGACACCCATCCTCTTACTTTTTACACTATTTTTCACAGATTAAATAAATAAGTAAATATCAGTGCAAATGTGCAATTGAAAACTTATTTATTTCTTAATATATTGGAACTTGGAACTTGGAAGACTAAGACGGAACCCTAAAACTTGTAAGAGTTCCACCAAAGAGCTGGGTATTTTATCCAGTAAATTAAAGCTATCAAAATCTTTGACAGAGCTAGCCCACATTCTCTCTGGTCTTGTGAACACAAGTCTCATTCTCACATTAATTATCTATAGAGCTTAAACAACACATGAATGAGAAGTAGCTGATGAAGATCAGTGAAATGGAGGACCACAACCCCACTTTGTTTGCAAACCAGTGAAGGTGCAGTGTAGCTTCCATTACAGACAGACAGAAAAGGTTGTGATTACTACTCTTGCAGTGATCATTTGTGGATTCCTCTGGAGTCTGGACACGTAATGCTTTAGCCAGACAAATGGGTTAAACAGATAATGTCGCCATGCAAATTGCAATCTGGTTTGTTGTTCATCCAACCTCCGACCTGATAAAGTGGTCCTTGTGTTGTTTAAACCACACAATACAAAGCATGAAAAGGATGTGTCAAGGGCCCGAACTCTTAATTTCATGGTTAACGTGCTACATTGCAATCATGATATCGCCTGTTGGAGTGCAGAATCAACAGAGATGGGAAGAGATTGGATAGAGATGTGAAGCAAGGTTAATCATCTAAGGCTTTAGATGAAATGAGCTGACATCTATGAACAAAGAAAATTATGTTTCAAATATATATATATATATGGTAATTGAAGCATTTAGTGTGTTTTGTTCCGTGGATGTTTATAGATGCGGTGTTTATTATTTTAAATATTTATTTGAAAAACTCTACTTTAATTTTTTCTTGTTTCTGTTGTTTGGTTGGATATTATTTTAAACGTTTCTTTTTTTTTTCAGATTAACACCCCATAAAATATGTCATGTAAGCATTTCATTTCGAGAACGTTAGGGTATTAGGGGAAACAAGAATTTAACATTTCCCCAAAAGCCTCATGCATATAAATCCAAGTGTTTATGTCTTTTAGTATTTATTTGATAAATCTTATTGAAATCAAACAGTGGTTTAATGCACAATAAATGCCAATGCCTATGTGAAACTGATGTGGTGGTGTTTTTTCAATAAATGCCCACCAATTTAGAATATATTTGGCATGACTTCTGTTTATTAAATAAACGTTTTCGACTTGATTTGTCTTCAAAAACGAGAAATAGTATTTGATAAACATTTTGCCATAATTTGTTGGCAACTAGATGCCACTAAGTGTCATTAGGCACCGCCTCAATGAAACGGTAAATAAATGCTTAATCAATGGGGAAAGCGATAAAATGAATCTTCTCCCAATGGTTGATACACACGTAAATCAAGACCAAAAGTTATACATAATTATGCATACGAAACCCTATAGTGGGACAAATGCTGGTTTGGCAATGACATGACACCGTTTATTTGATAAACAGAAGCCATACCAAACACCGCGTAAGTGTTTTTTTTCTGTTGATTGTATTGTAGTCAAGAAAGGGGTCATGGTCTCATGGGTTAAATGGTTCGACCACAGAGTCAAACGTGAAAACCTACTTTACTATATAATAATGCCCATACTTTTCCTAATTGGCTTCATGTCAAAACCACCATCTCAAAAAGGTTCGACCATACAACCTGGTCAAAGCGCTCTCTATAGTCCTTGGTAGCCAGGTTTAAGTGAGGTTCGATCTGACCCGCCCAGCCCTGAATGGACTTGGTCCTATTGCAAAGCAATGACCTCTTATTTGAAGGCTCATCGTCCTAAGAGATGAACCAAAGGCTTTATTTTGGTTGCAGTATAAATTTATTTGTAATAGTACAAATGCAAGGGAGTGCAAATGTAAAAAATGAAAATTCTTGTTTAATTTTGTTTTAGATTTTATTTTATTCAGCTCCATGTCTTAATGTACTTTATCTGTACTGTAATCAAACAAAATAAGCTAATATTTGAAGCAAAAATAGGTCAGAATTTACACTCATTAAATAGGTAGTCCCTGTGCATATGCATTATAGAGTCCTGCTATTACCATCTAGGCTGTGTTTGGTTACAATGCTAATTTATTTGCATTGGTGCAAAACCATGGTAATGCAAATGAATTTGGTGCAAATTATGATAATTTTTTTAAATTTTTACCTTATTTTGTTTGATTATGGTACAAATAGAGTAAAGCAAGACTTGAAGCAAAATAAAGTAAAACCCAAAACAAAATTAAAGCAGGATTTGCACTCTCATACATTTGTACTAGTGCAAATAAAATTGTGCTGCAACCAAACACAGCCCTAACTTCGATAGTTATTAGTGTGTTGCATTAAATATCAAAAAATGATGTACAAAAAACATGATATGAGAAAAACTTACAATCAATCAACTTGCATCATAAAAGTAGTGAGAGTGGAATTTGCGATTGGTCAAAACCTTTTTGGTATCATGTTTTTCTGACATCATAGATTTTTCTATAAAAATAAAATCTCATTATTATTTATGATTGTTGAATAATATATGCCCTTACAAATTGAATTTTCTGCCCACTACTCTCCACCCACGGTCTACCTGCCTTGAATTGCAGTCATACATCGTTATCTTGTATTATAGGATGTGCGGCTGCAGAGTACTGTAGGTTGGGTGTGAGTAGAGAAAGTGAATAGAAATTTGGGTTCATGCCCTTAGGTCCAATAATGTTTATAATTGATTATTATTGTAAATGAATGTGCACAATTTTTACCAATGACTCTAGCAATTGATAAGGTGTTTGCACAAAAATATTTCAATCATTTATTGCATTACATAGAATGAACATTCAACTTGCTACGCTGTATATATTTTTGGAGTGTATTGGGAAGTGTGTTTTTAGGATTGTATTTAGAAAGTCATGCATGTATCTAGGAATGTATTTGGTTTCTTTCGCTAGCCGTAATTAGGAGTTCTCTAGATTTCTTTGGCCAGCAGTAATTTCCCACTACAACTACAACTGAATCTCCTTTTGTATATATATACGATGTAATCTTGCATAACAAAGACAAAAAAAAATTCCACAGATTTTTTCATGGTATCAGAGCGAGGGTGCTTCGGGGAAGAAAAAGAGGAGGGTCTAGCGAGGTTGCTGTGGGAAGAAAAAGAGGAGGGTCTGTCGTCGTTCCTCTGTCGGCAAACGGAAACGGAGCAGTGGCCAATGTAACTTTGCGACAGTCTGCTGCACCCGGAACTATCGTGGCACTGCACCTGTAACTTTGCGCTGCACGCCTCCTGGGCGAAGCAAACCCACATCGGACGTAGTCCTTGTGGCCTTGAAAGTGAATCGGTTCGGCCTCTGAAGCGACATCCCAGCACCCATAAAGGCGTCGTCGGCCAGGTCGTCTCTGGCCGGTTCTATATCGACCCTCTCGGCCTCGTCGATCGTCCATCTCAATTCCAATCTTCCCTCTCATATCAGAATTTTCAGATTCAAGCGTGTAACGACTTCATTCAACGCAAAGAAGTTTTGCGATCGCAGGAGGTACAAGCGGCGCAAGATTGCCATCTTCTTCGCCTACTGCAGTGTAGGTTATCAAGGCATGCAGAAGAACCCTGGTGCCAAAACCATCGAAGCCGATCTTGAAGAAGCCCTCTACCTCTCTGGTGCTATTCCCGAGCCTGACCGCGCAATCCCAAAACTTGACGAGAGCATCGTCGCCACCTGAGAACAAGTGGAGTTTATCCAGTCCTGGGTACCGAACGAGTCGAACCGAGCGAGAGTGGCCGCACAGCTGACGCAAGGGAATCTGTTTCTTGAGATCGAAGACTTGGACGAGTCCAGACTTGCCTACCGCGGCCAGGAGCTTTCCGTCGACAGATTTTCCACCATGACCGGTGGAGAAGAAGACAACAAGAAAGGTGCAGGGAAGGACATGGCCATCTTCTCGCCAAACTACTTGCATCCGTCTGACAACCCTAGAATGATCATCTCACCTGTCCAATTGAAAGGTGAGAACTATGAGGAATGGACGAGATCTATGAGGAACGCCCTCAGAGCAAAGAGAAAGCTCGGGTTTGTTGATGGAAAGTTGGGTAAACCAACAAATGACTCGACCGACATCGAAGATTGGTGGATGGTGAATTCAATGCTGGTTGCATGGATTTTTAATACTATCAAACCAACCTTGCGATCTACTATATCGTATACAGAGAGCGTGAAAGACTTATGGGAGGATCTCCGACAGAGATTTCCTTTCGGGAAGGACCTCGGGTCCATCAATTGAAGGCTGACTTGGCTGCTTGTAAACAACAAGGACAAGCAGTGATGGCTTACTACGGGAAGCTGAAGGTCATGTGGGACGAACTGGTGGGTTATGATTCAGTACCCGCATGTCAGTGTGACGGTTGCAAATGCAATATTGCGACCATACTTGAAAAGAAGCGTGAAGAGGAGAGGGTGCATCAGTTCTTGATGGGCCTCGGCGATACAAAGTATGGCACCGTGCATTCGAATATTTTGAGCATGGAGTCATTGCCGAGTTTGAACCGTGTCTATGCAATTGTCATTCAAGAGGAAAGGCATCAGAATATAGCCAAGAGCAAAGAAGAACGAAGTGATGCCGTGGGATTTGCGGTACATATGGGTGTTGGTGCGAAAGCAGCTGCTGCACATATGAAGGATAAAAACGTGAGTTGTACACACTGTGGAAAACCTAGACATGAAGCAAAGGACTGCTTTCAGGTCATCAGATATCCAGAATGGTGGGGTGATAGACCACGCTCGACCGGGAAAGGAGCAGGTCATGGGCGAGGTGGTTCGAGCACGGGTACTGGCAGATATGGACGAGGGAACAATGCAAGAGCAAATGCTGCCCAAGCAGTGACAAGTGAGACTGGAGGACAGAAGGCTGGGACCACGAGTGGTCATGATCGTAGTGGATTTCCTGGACTGAGTGGAGATCAATGGACAACACTTCTTAATATTCTAAATTCTCATAAATCTGGTGGAGTAGACAGACTTTCTGGTAAGGAAAATTCTACCGATTGGATAATTGATTCTGGGGCGTCGCACCATATGACTGGAGAAATTAACTTATTGATTGATGTTCGGAATATTACACCGTGTCCGGTGGAACTTCCCAATGGTTGGGCCGGGAATGGCTAGACCAGGGTTGTTTTCCAGAGTTACTTCTAAATTAGTGGCATATGGAAATACATTTTCATAGAAGACTACATCACGGGAGACGAAATATTCACCTCTTTCAACATCATATACACGCCAGCCTTTTTTTCCGTTGGGATAACCTACAAAAACACACTTCTTACTCCTCTCTTCAAACTTATCATTGTCTCAAGGATTCCAATGAAAAATCTCGGTCCACTCAAATATTTCCTTGGTATTGAAGTAGCCCGTGGCCCTGAGGGAATATTTTTGTCTCAACGGAAGTATGCCCTGGACATCATCTTAGAATGTGGACTATTGGGAGCCAAACCAACATCTATGCCCATTGAACAGAATCATCATCTTGCGTTGGCAAATGGCGCTCTAATGGACAATCCGAATTAGTATCGACGATTAGTGGGAACGCTGATATACTTGACCATCACACAACCTGAACTGTGTTATTGTGTTCATGTCCTAGCTCAGTTCATGCAAAGTCCACACAAGAACATTGGGAGGTTGTTATGCGAGTAGTACGATATATGAAAGGATATCCTGGACAAGGTATATTGTTACGTTCGGATAGCGATCTGCATCTGTATGCTTATTGTGATTTTGATTGGGCAAGCTGCCCGTTAACGCGACATTCGTTGACTGGCTATTTTGTCCTACTGGGGCAGTCACCGGTTTCTTGGAAAACGAAAAAACAATATACTATGTTGCGCTCCTCTACAGAAGCAAAATATCGTTCGATGGCTGCATCAAGCTGTGAGTTGAAGTGGATGAAGAAACTTCTATTGTCCTTGGGAGTGGCGCATGATGAACCTGTGCGATTGTAGTGTGATAATCAAGCAGCTCTGCATATAGCCGTGAATCCAGTGTTTAACGAGAGAACAAAGCTTATTGAAGTCGACTATCATTTTGTTCGAGATGAGATATGGCATTACAGAACAGTTGGCTAACATCTTAACGAAGGCACTTGGAAAAGAAAAAAACACATTTCCATGACAAATTAGGCATTCGAAATCTTCATGCGCCTATTTGAGGGGGAGTATTGGGAAGGGTGTTTTTGGGATTGTATTTAGAAAGCCATGCATGTATTAGGAATGTATTTGACTTCTTTCGCTAGCTGTAATTAGGAGTTCTCCAGATTTCTTTGGGCAGCTGTAATTTCCCACTACAACTACAACTGAATCTCCTCTTGTATATATATACGATGTAATCTTGCATAACGAAGACAGAAAAATTTCCACAGATTTTTTTCAGAGTGAAGGAAAAATTGTATTTCAAAATGGATAGTTTCAAAATATGCCAGACTCCAAAAAGAACACCTAATGGATGTGACACGTTTCAGAATCAGCCATTTCACAGTACAAAACACTCCGTAGGCATCAAAATTTGTATTGGATCTTGTGCTGCATGGGCACATATATCGAGGCAAGTTTTGTATGGTTCAGACATTGGACTGTAAATACACTGAACCGGCCCAAAATGATGGTCTTCACATGGGCCATCGACCATGTTTGACACCTGTCATCTCAATGATGGCGCTAAGTAGAAGCAAGTCAATTATAAAATATGCCAATTGGGTTGGGACAAATTCAGCGTGATCATGAAAAACCGAAAAAACCAAATAATCGAACCGAATCAATGAATCAAACCTAAATTTTTTATTAATCAAATCAATCTGTTCAGTTTCGATTAACCAATAAAAAATATCAGAGGTTAATTGAACTAATATATTATAAATGAATATATATATATATATATATATATAATATTATTTATAAAATAATGTTTTATATGTATTCCTAGTTTTTTATTATATATTTATTTATAATATATATTATAAAAATAAAAAACCAAAAAATCGTTGAACTGAATCAGTGATTAATAAAACCGATCAGTTTTAATTTGATTTCAATTACCGGTTTCTTAAAAATCAATACTACCAGTTCAGTTTGAAATATAAGCCTATAGTTGATTAATCGAACCATTAGCACCCCTACCAGCTAACAGTATTTTTGTTTTATATTTTCCTCTCTCTCTGGTTTTAATTTATTTGTGTTACAAGGTTATATTTTGCATTTCCAGATAAGCTTTAAGCTTCTTAGGACCTTTGTGCGTGCAAGGAACATTCTAAACTTCAGCCATCAAATTAGATGTAAAAAGAATATATGATGAATTGGGATCCTCTGATGTCACCCAAGAGATGAAGACATGCGAATCCTCTCCATGAATTCAATGGATAGGATCGAGTGCACTCTTGAAGGAACATCTTAGAGAAAGGATCAACATGTCTTCATCCCTTCCCCTATGAAAGTTATTAGCATTCTTTGTTCTCCACTGCACAAACAATGCATATGCTGGCAGTGAGTTGGGGTGTCGATTGGACTGGATTTGGTCTAATCGGATCCAGTCCAATGTGAGTCCATCACAAATTGATCAGGTTCAATCTAATCCAATGAATAATTTGGATCATTTTGGATTGGTTCGATTTAATATTCAGACCGTTCAATTTGTTCAAATTCATTTTAATTTAGACCAATTCAAACCCGGCCCATTGACACTTATATTTTTATCTTATATCAACGGACTGCATATCGACTTAATCCAACCAAATCCAATATAAATTTATTATAAACAGACCAGATTCAGTCCAATCTAATAAATATTTTGGACTGGATTGATCCAATCCACTATGTCTTTTTGGTCCATCCAATCTGTCCAAATTGATTTTGGACTGTATGGGGTCTAGTCCAAAACCGGTCCCCTTGACACCCTTAGCAGTGACGAGTACCATGAATTATAACTGGGTGCAAATCTGAGCAACAAATGACTCCAAAAAGGAAGTTATTTTGGCCAAGTGACAAGGAATTTTAAGCTGAAATTCGCCCTGTGAATAGAGGCTGGCTGGGAGAAACAATTTTGAAGCCCTGTTGTGGCAAGGTGGGGCCCTTCGGCGCAACCATCTTGCCACATGGACTGTTGCTAGGCTGTTTGTTTAGACTTCTATAGTAAAATGATACATTGGATGCCTTGAGGGCTCTAATATTGCAGCTTTGCAGTTTTTCCTTGTAATAAGCTTCATTTTACTTTTAATAGCATGGTTTTGCAAATTTTCAAACAAAAAATAGTCCAGAAGATAGAAGATGACCCTTGCCATATGGCAGAGGGCTGTTCAGCTGAAACTTTTCACATGGAAGAGGCCAAGAGGGAGACAGAGAGAAGCCCATCAAAGTTGGCCGTAAACATAAAACAAAAAGCAAACCTGTCCAGAGAGATTCTGAATATATATAACTCATGGACCCAGTTCTGGGTTAATTAAAAACTAGAAACTAGCTCTCTTCCAATTATGTTCCCTTCTATTTCTACTCCTCATGCTATGATGTCTTGGACGTCCTAACTGGCCCCATTTATGCGAAACAAGTTTTTTCCTCAGGTCAGCCCTTTTCCGCCCTCTTTATATTTTTATTGAATCATGTAACCTTTCACATAAAGATTTTGCCACTTGGCACATTACAAGTGTCACGTAAGGACAGATAAAGAAGAATTTGGTGAGAGTAATTTGAAAAGAAAAAAGATCGGTATCTAGTTGGTGGTCCAAACAGTACACACAACCTTATTAAAGGATGGAAATTGATGACCTGATGATCCGCCAATAAACCCAGATGACTCATGATTTATGTCTTTGATTGTTGAACTAATAATTCTGTGTGCATCTTAATCTTCAGTAGCCCAAGCCACTGCACCCTTATGTTTGTTCTTAATTTGTCTCCCCTACCCTAACCTAGAGTTGAT